GCCGCAAGTTCGGTCTGCCCAGCCGCACGCTGTACGACAAGGTGCGCAAGCTGAACATTACCACCGGCCGTGGCACCCATCGCACGCCCAAGCGCAGCCCACCTGGCGTCGGAGGCGTCGAGTCGTCGGCCGCATTCCCCTATTCGGCTGCGGCCGCAGCTGCGGCGGCTGCTCACAACTACGGCCAGACGGAGCTGGAGCGCGAACCGAAGGAGCACGGACATGGCCAGAGCGCTGGGCATGCCCATGCCCATGCCGGGCATCATGGCATGCCGCCCACCATTCCGCATTCGGCTGCTGCGCTGCTGGATCATGCCTTCCTGCAGCAGGCGCTAGAGAATCGTGGCGGCGATATTGCAGGTCGGGAGGCGTTGCATGCCATGGCCCTGGCGGCAGCCGCACACGCAGCGGCCAATCGCATGTCCAGCAGTCCGCCGGGCTCCAATGGCCATGCGGCCCGTTCGCCCAGCCACTATGCCGAGCAGGAGGCGCTGGACAAGCACGAGCATCGTCTGATCAAGCGCGAGGCCATTGAGGAGGAGCGCGACGCCGACGACGAGGATGATCACGACCAGGTGGAGGATCTGTCGCTGGCACGCAAAGAGCGTCCCGAGTCGCCCTACTCGCCGCCCCCGCCGCGCGCTGCCTCGCCCATGGAGAGCGCCAGCGTAATTATGCACTCCAACTCGGCGTCGGTCTCAACGAATGGCAAAGGGGCGCACGAGCTGGAGCCAGAGCAGGAGCAGGAGCAGGACCACGAGCTGGAGGACTACAGCGAGGCGGCATCGCCAGCATCACAGCCCCTGAGCATGGGCGTGGGCCTAAAGCGCGAGCTGCTCGGCAGCGACGAGGCACAGGCGCGCACCGACTGATTGATGCTAACAATGGCCTGGCAGTATGCGGCCGATAGCCACGATTCCATATTCTAGGCCAATCTTCGACGCAACCAAACCAACCCACCAACCCACCCATTTTACCTACCACACTCTGTGTATAACCCCATCCATTCGTTTCTCTGGTTCGGCGTACAACGTGCAAACTTATTTGTTGTGTTCTCATCATCGACATGCCTCGGCAACGATTTAGCGGTAGTGAAGCTTTAATGACCCATTTTATCCCGGAATACCCACCCCGGCACCGACCCGCAAGCAGGGCAAGAGACAAAAAAAAAAAAAAAAAAAAAAATCAAACATAAATATAAAACAAAAACTTGTTGTCAGCATCACTTTGTGCCTAAAAGAAATAGAATTATTCACATAAAAATAAATAGATTTAGATATATAGATGTATATCGGCTAGTTTAGGCTTAGGCTAGACTTACGAGCACCCACACAGACACACACACACACACACACACACGCATAGGCTAGGCAGTGTTAGGCCATGGTAATGCTTATGTCGCATAAGACTGATGAAAAGTGGGTGTGGCAGAGCAAAAGAGGCTCATTATATAGAGTATATATATATATATATATATATATATATAGAATCGTTTCGTTAGGCATAGCATTTGAGAATGGATCTTGGTTAGATCAACAACAAGTTAGCAATACTTTGTACAACTATCTTAAAATGCCAGTGATTTGTTTTAAAACTTCTTTAACGCTAGATAAAAGCAAACAGCTGTTTAGTTTACGTTTTGTTTAATTACTATACTGAATACGATATGTATTTTGAGCTCCATTTACCTAGAACCGAACTACCTCAAAAGGCTCAAAAATCAATTGGTATATTTTACTAGTTAACTCCTATACATACATATATATATATATTGCTTTTTTTTTTGTTACATTTTAAACTAATCAAATAATTGTCCTGGGTTGAATTTTATAAGACTGACACCGACTCACACACACACACAAACACTTACGCACACACACACACGCAAGCAGGCACAACATTTAAACCCAATCGAATGCGTACAAAATTAACTAAGCGAATTAATTAATTGTAAGCTTAATTGAATTGTAATTAGAATTTTAGTTTATAGTGCAAAAATAATGCAAAAATCAAACAAACATGCGCTGGGGGCAATGCAATAGGCTCTATATAAGTACACATAAGTATATGCAAAAACTTATTCTTACACATACGATAAAGATATATATATATATACATATATATAGCTATAGCGTTAATTCATTTGTTATACAATTCTAGAGCGTAAGCGTATCGATATGAGAAACAACAATCCCTGTGTACATAATATGCATAAATAATTGGATGCAAACCAAGTATTTTGCCGTTATATAAAAGTTAGTGTTAATTGAAAATTTCTTAAATATTTGTAACTACAATTGCAATGTGCAAATCATAATTAAGGCAACATTTTCGGTATGAATGCAAAATAAAAATGACTGAAGATATATCTACACATATATGAATAAAAGAAAACATGTGCATTGTTTCTATACAAATGAGATCTTAATTCTGCATGTTAAGGGTTTAACAATGGTAGGCTCATATTTATTACAACATTTACAATTCGAATATAAAAATATATATATATATATACACATTTCGATAAGCATCAGTGGTTGCTTAGCACAGAAATAAATTGAATCATACTAATTATACAATTATTATACACATAAGACTATAAGCAAGTACTCTTAGTTAAAATGACTTTGATCAACGAGCTGATACTCTAGAACCAGCTGTACTTCAGTTCTAGTCAAATATATATGCACAACTCTACAGGCAGCCCACACAATTGGGCGGATTGCGATTGTCGAACTCGCAAATGCCAATGGCAAAACGGAAGGGTTTATGATTTGGCAAATGCATGGGCCGATTGGATATCCACGGCATGTGCGGTATGTTCAGCACGCGCACCGTGTACTGCTGTGTCCGGGCTGGTTCTTTGTGTACGGGATTGATAATGGACAGCTCGTGCTGGATGCGTATGAGGGGTGGCTCATCGTTGGGGCTGTGCCGCTCGTGCTCGCAGTGGGCCAACAGCTTGGCCTCGCTAAGAAACTCCAAGCGGCAATAGTTGCAGTAATAATTGATGCCCTTGCTGTGCAGCACCTGGTGGCGATCCAATTGATGCTGGAACTCAAATTCATCGTGACACTTGTGGCATATGTAAACGCCGCGGTTTTGCCGATGCAGATGATAGTCGAGGAAAACCCTACCAGGTGTCTCAGAAAGTTAATCTCTCAATGAAAATCGTAAAATACATGTTTGAGTCCACTCACTTGCTGGTGAAAACGTCGCCGCATTTGTGGCAATAAAACCAGCTCATCTTCCAGTGCTGCATGTAGTCGTGCTTCATTAGATTAACGAGCGTGTCCGTTTGATAGCAGCAGGTGGGCACAAAGCATGAGAAGGCCTTCAGCTGCACCTGCGTTTTAAGCAGATCCAGCAAGTAGAGATCATACTCCTTATCTGTGGTTATATGCGACTCCTCCAGCACATAATCATCGTACAGCATGGTCAGATTTAGGGCGCTGTTGCTGTTGCTGCGACTGTGGTTAACTATCCAATCGCCTGTGAAATTCATGCGCCTTGTGTACATCGTGTCGGCTATGGAGGTGGCATCTTCGTCGTCCTGCTGATCCTCATCCGTCTCCTCATCGCCCAGTTCACCATTATACCAGGCCAACGAGCAGGCACGCGACCGCGATCGTGTAGATCGAGGCTGTGTGGGAGATTCTTGCATTTGCAAAGCCTACCATAAAGCGTTTTGAATTGAATATACCATCTAGAACATACTGCTTTAGAGTACTTGCCTCTTGTTTGGCACTGCAGATGGTATGGTGCAGCTCCCACTCGTATTTCGTGCCGAATTCCGCTTCGCACAGACTGCACCGATGCTGGTGGCTGATACGCTGGTGTTGCCGCAGGGCCAAGCTGCCAGCGAATTCCTTCTCGCAGCTCTGGCATTGAAAAGTATGCGAGTGTCGTGGCGTTTGCGACAGAGCCTGATCCCCATTATCGTTCTCGTCATCCTCTTCATCGTTGCCGGGTTCATTGAGCACTCGACACTTGGGTCGACGCTGCGTCTGGCGGCGCCAACAACGGCGCACGTGCAGCGTATAGTGATCCTTGCGAGAGTAGACGCGCTCACAATACTGACACACCCGCCGTGTGCGCCACTTCCAACCGTCCAAGGCGTTGCTGCTGTTGTTGCGCAGGCCACCGGACTCTGTGGCGGAGGGAGATTCTGGTGGTTGAGCTGAGTACGCTTGCAGCACTGAGCACGACGATGCAGTGGACGTGGGCGAAACGGTTCTAACTGTTCCGGTGCCATCCTCCTCCTGTGCCAAGGGCACCCCAGTCGTAGATACCTCAGCATCGGCAATAGGCGGACTGTCACATTGCCTTCGCTCCACCGGCGTTCCAGTCTGTGATTTCGCCGTGACGGTCAGGCGCTGCAGCCGCTGCATCAGCGTGCGTGTTACCTCCGAGTGCATGTTCAGCTTGCAGACGCACTCGACACATATGGCTCGCAGCGTTGTCTTGACTATGTCTGCCTGCAATTGTGCGAAAATGAAGCGAAATGGGCGCTAGGTATCTCTGGCTGATGCCACTTACCGACAGCTTCCAATCGCGGCTTAGGCGTCGCTGCATCACACTGTTGCCCCGCAGGTCCAGCAGGGCGGATGACGAGGACTTGCTACTGCCGCAAATGGTGCACACTTTGGTGTTGCCCTCCGAGGCATCCAGTTGCGTTGCATTTGCCAGCCTGTCGTTGCTGTTGCTGCTTGACTCGGGCTCCGGAGCAGCCAGCATGTTGCAACTGGCATTCGACGCACTTTGAAGTCGTAAAAGAAAACCGCTTGTGTGCCGTTCTACAAAGTCATGCTAGACCAGCAGGATTGCCAAACAGCCAAGAATCTTGTTTCTTTCCTATATGTATTACTATTGTTACAATCTCTTTAGTTAAACACTTTAGTTTTCTTATTTTCTTGTCAGTATTAAATGAATTGGTAATATTATGTGCTTTTTCGCACTTTCTAACACTGAACATGTTCGATAGGCGCATAACAGCCCTGTTTGGCATATCCATGCAAAGTGTAAGCAATTTCAATTCATTTAATTTGAGTTGCTGAAAAAATGGATATAATTTCTGCTGCTAATCTTTACCTACGTCAGATAGGCGAGCTGCGGCCAAGCATCTCGGATTTGAAGCCCAGCATTTTCACAACAGGCGGACCAGAGCCCAGATCACTCGTTGAAATTTCTGGCAAGCGTAGGAGCGGCAAAACTCTTCTGCTAATGCAGCTAGTGGCAAACTGTTTAACACGCTGTGATGTCATACTAATTAATATTAACCATAAAATCGATCTTCAGTTACTTGGAAAACTTTTGCAGGACGCGGTCAAAAATGCCAACCCACAAGCAACAGCCGTCGAATTGCAAGAGATCTGTGAGAAGTGCATGGACTCATTGGAAATTATTAATTGCTTTTCATCCTTGGATGTTCGCTTGGCCATAAAAGCTCTAGATCATCATATTCTGCTTGATAACGAGAGGGTTAGCCTAGTTGCTATTGACGGACTTTGCGAATTCTATTGGTTTGACTTGCCGCCAAATGTGCCCATGCGCAAATATACATACTATATGAAATTTCTGGAGCGAATACACAGGATTTCAAAGAGATTTTATGTTTGCTGCATGTACACCGTGGACAGCAGCTATCTAAAAACGTCATACGCGCCTTCCAGAGCGATAAACATAGATCACAAGTTGCAGTTGAATTGCTTTAGGGGCAAACGAACGCTGAACAACAAAAGAATTGTCATCAACGAGAGCGGTATCCAGGTTATGGATTAATGAAAGAATTTTTAAAAATTGCGCGTATTTTCATTTGGGCGTTAGTGCTGGGCGTAATATCGATAATTTTAGTGCATGCAGCGACGCACTGGAAGTCGATTCTGATAGCTATTAGACTAGGCCACAACCTATCGGGATTTTTAATACTTGGTGTCATCTCTGGTTTTTCTGTTCGACGCGACGAGAAAACGTGCTAGTTTTTTTCAGCAGCCCGATTTATAAAATAAAACAAACGAAAAAACATAACAATGGGTGTACAAGTTGTTCCAATTTCAGCCGGCGATGGTAAGCAAATAAACATTTATTTTATTGGATTTATGCTTTCCTAACCCTATTGTTGCGGCTCTGATAAAAAAAAACCAAGTATTTTTCCGCTCTCTATATACATACATACATATATGCATCTCACTCTCACACGCCTTCGTATTGCAGGCAGTACCTTCCCCAAGAATGGCCAAAAAGTTTCGGTGCATTACACTGGCACTTTGGACGATGGAACCAAGGTGCGTAATTGAATAGCTCAAGCATTTAATTGTAATTATATTCTCTCTCAAAATCTTAGTTTGATTCGTCTCGGGACCGCAACAAGCCGTTCAAATTCACCATTGGCAAGGGCGAAGTTATTCGCGGCTGGGATGAGGGCGTTGCTCAGCTGAGCGTTGGCCAACGGGCCAAGCTGATCTGCTCACCTGACTACGCCTACGGCAGCCGAGGCCATCCAGGTGTCATTCCCCCTAACGCTACCTTGACTTTCGATGTCGAATTGCTCAAGGTCGAATAAGTGGTCGGATGCAGCAAACAGCCGAAGACCGTGTGTGTGTATGTGTGGTGAACACCTGCTACACACATGCACACACGCGCGCACGCATATACACACCTATAACCTGGTGCGCTCCGGCAGTGGCAACAGAACCAAACAAGAACAATCCAACAGCATTTTAATTCTATTCAAAATATAAAGGTGGCCGCTGTGGTCCATGAAATTAGACTTAATTACCAACACAGATAAATGAAAATGGCAAACGCATACAAATAAAGATTTATTCAAGTGAAATACAGTTTTATTCTCGCTTGCAAACAGCATCCATTATCTGGTCAATTATTTCATAGCGCTCATGCTCGTATTTCTGTGCATGCTTCAGCCAGTGACTGCGCACCCGCTTCCAGTGGCTCACATTGTCCGCCAGCAGCTCGTCTTTGCTGGCGTCTTGCAGCTTCGCGTCCTGGGTTTGCTGCAGGCGGGGCGGTATTATCGGCAAATCTGTTTTGCGCGCCTGTGGCATCTCCTTTAGGACCTTCAGTTCGCCGCTCAGCAGTTTCGCCAGAATCTCCTCCGCGTCGTCCTCCCGTTTCACTGTTGGTGTTGTACCATCTGTGTTATAAATGGCCACGGCTGGATTGCGCGGCTGGTTGGCCATCCAGGCGCGGCATATCGGGTACAGCGGCGTCTTATCTTTATACTTGGACAGGTCTAGGCTGCGCTCAAACAAACGCATCACGTACGATTCGCTGTGGGATTTTTGTGCTGCATTATTGCCGTTTTTTTTGTAGAGCGACCGCTTTGCTTTGGAACGCCCTGAACCAGTTGCTGGAGCAGCAGCTGCCGTTGCCGATGTCGACGTGGTTTTTAATTCTGGTTGTTGTTTAGCATTCAGCTGGGCGCGCTGTTGCTGCTTTTGCAAGAGTAGCTTCTTGGAGGGACGACCCCGTATGGGCAACTCGGATTCAATGTCGTCGTCGATTTGCAGCATCGGTAGTGGCGCTTCTGGTTCATCCTTTGATGATTCTTTACGGGATTCCCGCGGACGCAGTGATGACTCCCCAGCAGTGCCGCGTAATTTCTTTGGCGTCACTTTCATGCTGATGCTTCCTTAATTATTTTTTATGATTCTTTCAAATTTTCAAATGTAAACGCAGTGAATGTCAAAAGCGTTAGTGATGGTCATTTGTAAAAGTCCACTTATCGAAATTTTAGTCGATTCTGAATTTAACAGTTGTGGGCTGTTAGACTGCTGTTATTCATGCTTACGAGCATATTTGCTTGTTGTAAAATTCAAATTCGTGTTAATGTTCTTTCAAGCATGCAAGCGGCTATCTAAATTTCTGTAGTGCAATTATTTTGCATGTATCTATATTAAATGCAAATATATATTAATAGCTGTGACACAGTAACGGAAGCTGGCTAGTGTTGTGCTGTTAGCAATAACAGCACTGTAAATTTTAACATTTTCAACACAGTGTTATTTTGTTTTTACTTTTGTTGTTTTCTGCTCTCCAAGAAAAGCACGAATGATTGAGAGTTGCTTAAGATTCACGGGACGGAACGGTTGTTGCTTGTGGAGTGCGCAAAACCATTGTGCATGAAAAAGAATACATAAATTGAAATACAACTAATAGAAATGAATTTTTAATAAATTATTTTAAACAGTCTGTTGTGATTGAACAGAAGTGCTACAATTGTTAGTAAATTGACGTAAAGTCTAGTGATATTTCAGTTACATAAAAAAATAAAAGCAAAACTGTAACTTCACATTTACAGTAAGTTTGCATTATTGCATTGTATTTGGTTTGTTTTATCAGTTCGCTAGCTAGTTTTGCATGTGTATGTGTACCTTGGTCCGTCGTTGCATTTTGCGTCTTTCGCTCTGGTTTTGTTTGGTGCTCTAGAGTAAAGAGAGTCCTCTCTCTGCACCACGCACTCACCAATACAGACAATTGTATGCCTCTCCACCTTAGTATATTACTGCGTCGTTGCTGTTGTATTCTCCACTTCTCCCCCACATATTCCCAAATTTACTTTCGTTTGCTATTTATATTAACGATTTACTGTTACAATGGCAATAGCAGCATCGCTGCAGCCAGTATCATCATCAGGAAATCGGTGTGTAAGCAACAAAGAGAGCGAGAGAGTGCGCGAATTGACTGAGAATGGGGTGAGGGCGGCACACATGTTGACAAGCGTTGGCACATTTTATTTTCGACTCTATTTTAAATTGTCTTAGAGTATGTATATGTACATGCATATAGCCCCGCTATCAGTGCCGCACAACAGTAAATTTGGGAGACTTAAAACGACAGCAGCAGCAGCAACAGCGCATTTACCAATCTGGTCCGTCTTTCCGATCCACCGCCGAACAGCTGTGAATATCGTGCCTCGTCGTGTTGTCTCGCAAGTTCGCTGAACCTCTATGTATGTTTGTATGTCTGTTCATATCAAATCAAACTATATCAAAGCCAAATACTTTAAACCTGCACACAAACATATATAAACATATTTCATAGTATGTTTAACACATATATACATATATGCGTGCACATTTTGTTTTATTTACTCAAATACACATAAGCATCTACCTTTGTTGATGTTTAGCAGACAGTGTTTGAGAGTTGAGAATGGCGCAGCCGTTTAAACGTTTTGACTCTCTTTAGCGTTCCGTGCGTTTAGTGCGAGTTCGAATCTCGCTCCGCCCGAGCTTGTTGGCTTCTTTGACGACAACTCACGTTACTTGGCCGTAACTACTCGGGCTACAGTAAATTTTTTTATAGTTAACATTTTAAAGAGAACCTTTTTATATAAAGTTTAAACAATAATCGACTTGCTGGGATATTTATTCTATTCTCTGTCATTATTAGTATTAGTTTTTTTTTTTTCAATTGTATGCAGTCTAATGAATGGAGCGCGTGCAGCAAAGTGGGAGAGGCTGTAAGCTATCTGATATCATCAGCGTTTGAAAGTAACGACAAAACGCTCGCTCTCTGCCTCTCTCTCTCTCTCTTGATAGCTCTTCGCTCTCGTTATTTGTTTGTAGTGACGTAATTTGCAGGCACTGCATTCGAATATCTTGTTTTGGTCTTATAAGAAAAGTGTGCCCAAACTGGTTTTGAGAGCTTCAACTGCGCCGCACCAAAACAAACTGGGTATCTAGGTATATATGTGTGTGTGTATCTGTGTATGTGTATTTGCTCCTGAGCATTCGCAACTGAGACTGAGTGCGTAATTTCCGATATGGAGTAACAAGCCCGTAAAAACATGTTGTAAACAAAGCAAAATCAAAGCTTTTTTTAAGTATTGTTATTATTATGGCAACGGCCTTGACACGGTTACAACATCCAGTAACAGCAGAAGCAGCAAGAAAAACATAAACAAATGCGAATGCATGTTGTATTTAGCATATAAACGGGTTCGCGGCGCAACATCTGCTACTCGATGGACTTTTGGTCGCTTTCGAAATCGTTCTATTTATAAACGGGCCTCCACTTTGAAGGTTGCCCACAGGTGACATCATCTGTCAAGCGGAGCAGCCGTAGGAGGGGCTACATCTGTGCGCTAAATGCACTGAACTCCACTGCGGTTGACTTTCCCCCAAAAATCCACTCGACGGTCGCCCACCATAAAAGGTCGTGATCCGTTGTGGGCGTTGCGGGGAGAGGCAAAAAGTGGGTCAACTTTGTGTACATAAACAAAATATGTAGCCACGCGACCAAACCATCAAATGTCCACCGCCCAAATATTGGATGAATTAGTGATGGGCGAACAGCATTTCCTTAGATCTATATAAATTTCGAATATGTACTTTTGATTTTAAGTCACACGATATTTTATCTATTGACACAGACACGTAGGGCTGGTTCGTGACTGTTCGTGTCACGAAAGACTTGATCTCTTTGTATATCCATGCTATTTGTGTCTGTTTGTAGAATTTTGGGACGTGCTCCTGTTTGGAGAGAGACGCACAACCATGGGCCAAATTGTTGGATCCATGCAAAACAATGTGGCGGAGGTGTTCGGCGGCCGACGGAAGCGTAGACGTAGCACAGACACGACTGCGTCCCAGGAGGAGCGCGAGCGGGCGCAACTGGACGCAAAATCGCCGAAAAAGTAAGTTGCTCCTGAAGATTCCAGACATAATCCACTAATCCACAGTGTTGCTTGTGCAGAAAGAAGCTGCTGACGACCACACAGTATATATACAATGCTCTGTTCAAGGAGCAAAAGAACTCGGATGTGGCTGTGATGGCATTAGACAAGGTGTGGCATCTGCACAAGGTCTATCTTAGCCAGAGTCCCTACTTTTACAGCATGTTCAATGGTTCGTGGAAGGAGGCACAACAAAATTTTGTGCACATTAAAATACTCGACGATCGGATCAATACGGATAGCCTGGACGCAGTGTTTGGCTCCATGTACTCGGATGAAATAGAGATTGAAGTCAAAGATGTGATACCCGTTCTGGCTACAGCCACACTCTTCCATCTGGATGGCATCATCGACAAGTGCGCCGAAGTGATGGTGGACAGCATCAATGCAGAAACTGCCATTCAGTACTATGAGGCTGCCTGCCAGTACGGTGTGTTGAGCGTCAAGAAGTCCACCTTTCAGTGGTTCCAGATCAATCTACTTAGCATTTACAATAAGAATCCCAATCTGCTGCGGCACATATCCATTGATCTAATGACTTTGCTAACTGCCAGCCACGATCTGTACGTGATGCAAACAGAGTTCTCGCTTTACACACTCCTGCGCACCTGGATGTTTCTACAGCTGCATCCTCAGTACGATCCAGAGGATCCTGTGCAACGCGCTGAGGCACAAAAGACACAGGAACGACTGGTCAATGCCGGCGTGGAGACGCACACGCCCAGCGTGGATGTTGTTCAATGGACGTACTTTGCTAGCCGCATGGAGGAGCGTTCCTTTCTGGCCACGCCTGAGGGTCAGGCATATGTGCCCGTATTCCAGAAACTGCGCACTCAGTACCTGACCAATCACTATATGGATCTGAAGATTATATTCAACGACAACATCATTCCTAAGGAGTGGCTCTACAGGCACATACACAGCCACTGGGATGCCCTGCTGCGCATCGATCACGGCCAGGAGGATGGGTAAGTGACAGTAAACAATTTTAATTGCGAAATTTAAGTCCAATTATGATTGCACAATAAAACAGGAGTCCGCAGCAGCTGGACAAGGAGCAGTTCTTCGAGAACTGCATGCGCTGCGGTCGTTTGCTGCTCGAGCCTGGATATCAGAAGTGGCGCTGGACGGGCTTCAATTATGGAATGGATCTCATACTCATTATGGACTCGCGGCGACTGAACATACGACGCCACCATCGGCACGAGCACGAGCGGGTGCTCAGTTTGCAGACGAAACGAAAGTTTATGATACGCACCACGGTCACATCGATTAATGCGCAGCGCCAGCCGGTGTTTACCCAGACGTCGGAGATCACAACGCTCAGCCTGGAGAAGAACGAGGAGGTGTCGCTGATGGTGCTTGACCCAAAGCTGGTGCATCCGCTGCTCATATCCATTAACATGCTGGTCGTGATGCCGCCCAACCAGAGCTTCAAGGAGATTGTGCCGCAGAGCGAGGATTCGTCGCTGTCGGCAACCGCCATACCTATCTCAGAGATTGGGGCCAGCTGCGAGCGCTCCTTGACGCCAGCCAGCGCCGATGATTCAGCTGTTTGTGTTAGTGGCGATTCGGAGGCATCGACACCATCCTCGCCGTCCATGGGACTTCGACCAGCTGGACGCTTCAGTTGGCCGCGCGGTAATGCGGCCAGGACTAGCGACGGCGAGTCCTTATGTCGTGACGTGGCGTGTTGAGCGCGTTGCACACCGTCCCCTTCCAAGTCCTCCCCACATTAGGCACAACCACCTCGTTCTGTTCAAGGACTCGCCACACGAGCCTCGTTTTATATAGTTGTACATTCGTTTCTACGACTAGCTACGACTAGCGTGCTATACATACACATATATATGTATATGTATATATATATATTATACTATATATACATATAGTTAAACAGTCTACTAACGGTACGCCATATAATTGTATATTATCCTTTAGTGTGCTTTATGCGCCCTTCTATATTTTTGTATAATCGTTTACATTATCCTAGAAACTATTGTAAAATTATTTTCTAACAGATCCGGTTATGTTTTTTTTGCACACTTTTTGTGCGCTCGGCACATTGCTGTTAAATATATATATATATTTTTTATTTATCTATGTAAAGCTCAGATTCTAAGCGCTAAAGTTAAGCAACTATCGAAGTCGAAGAAAACGTATTCGAATCACAACTGCTTACATCATTAAATTTATTAACGTCTCACTTAAAACTCATTGCATTTTAATTAACCTCACTAAATTATTAAATGTCTTAAATATACTCAACGGGATTTTTCTATTTAATTGAGCTTGTGCTGCCCCCAAAGCAAGGATACAATATGGTCTGTTGCCATTAAATAAGAGTCCGAGTAGATATAAGCATATATATTCAGATATAAGCATAACGTTTATATTTCTCTTAAACAAGTATTAGCATGTAATAACAAAAATTTAATTTTAAATTGACCAGGTCAAAAATATCTATACCCTGCCCGTAATATACAAACAATTTCGCTATTATATACTATTGATACTACGTACGGTTTCCGTGACCAGGTTACTGCAAATAATATATGTTTTAGTAGTAGAACAGCTCTGGGAATTTCGTCTCGTAGACGGGTTTCTCATTGTTGGTCTGCAGTGGGGCTGTCTTATTGTCGCTCAGCGTAATCTGGCGTTCCACGGCCAGCGAGTTGAAGAGTTCATTCAGACGGTTTTGAATGAGATCATGCTGGAAATAGATGGCTCAATTAGCTATGAACCTTGAAAGACAAGGAGGAGTGGATATACCTTCGGTTCGGTGCGGCGCACCAAATCGTCGAACTCGCCCTCGCGGAAGGTACGCACAATTTGCATTTGTCGTTCGCGCTGCTCCCGTTTCGCCGCCTCTGTCGGTTCGGCCAGGGCGCGTTTCATTGCATCAAAGTTAAACTCTGGTGCTAAGATTTTTTTGCATACGCCCGGTGAGCTGTTAACGCTGTCCACATCACCATTATATAGGGTCAGATCGGCGGAGCTATTGCGTTGCGTCATGTGCGTGCTAACCGATTCAACCCAGGAGTGACGATGGCCCGGATTGTCGGCCTGGTTGAGCGTATACGGTGCACCGGTATTGAGTCGTTGCGCATCCATGCCCGCATTCTGCATGCATTCGCCCAGCGCCAACTTATCGATAGCCAGATGTGGTAAAGACAGGTTTAGATTCTTCGTAGACACCTTTTTGGGTTCCAACAAAGGCGGCAAATAGTAGGCGGCTTCTTCGCGGCGCGCCTCTACAATCTTTTGCGCGTATTCCAGCAAATTATTGATGCCGCTGACGCGTGAGATGAGCACCAGAAGCCCAATGGATATGGCGTGCAGATTGCATCTGTGCACGGCGCCCAAGGTCTCGACAGTGCTGGCCACTTGCTGTATGCTGCAGGGATTAATAATAGCCGGGTTTAGTTTGGAGTGCACCCGAATTGTTTATGTTTATGTATTTGCTTACCCCAATATGAACAGCAAGAACTCCTGCACTGTTTCGCTGCACGACATCTCCACAATGAGCAGAGCAGCTGTATTGTAGCTAGCTGTCAAGGCATCCACGCGATCCGACAGCGCCATGCTATCGATGAGCGCCTGCATGATGTTTGCGCCATATTTGTGCGTGAAAATGATATCAGAGCGCGATGGAGGCTCCTGGGACAGAGCCGGATACGGCTTTACGCTTACGGTGCTGAGCACCTTCTCGTTTTGGTGGCGATCAAGCAGCGCCTGGAAGATCTGCATGACAATCATGCGCGTGGGATCGTGTGGAGCGCGCGCCATTCGCAACAGGGGTTGCAGAAACGAGGCGGGAAAGGCTTTCTCGAAGGATACTGTGCTGTATTGGTTTCCCACTTTGAGCAGTGACTTGAGCAATATGTTCTGCAGCATTTGATCGCTTTTGCTCTTCTTGGACAGATCGGGCACAGTGTTCATGATAAACAACATGATTTCTATCTTCTGATAGTCTGGATGATGGTTGGCAAACTCGCCGAGCGCATTGATAAGCGCCTCCTGGTACTGCGACTCTTCGGGCGTTATTTCGGTCGTTGTGCTGACGCTTGTGCGCAGATGCGTCAGCAGATTGTTGATAATATCCAAAGCTGATGGACCTACGCTCTCGCCCGCTGCAATCGCAATTATCTTCGACAGCACCACCGCCAGCGAGGTGCGTGTCTTCGGCGACGACTTGAAGTTGCAGTCCAAATGTTGCATGAGCGTCTCCACCACCGTGTACGAGTACTGCGGCTGTATTGATATCATCACAATGCGGAATGTGTGTATGGCGAAATTGTTGGGCACCCACAGCTCGTGACGATCCAAATGCCTGTAGAAGATTCAAACTCAAGGATTAATCGGAGATACAGAATGACTTGGCTGATTAAACTCACGTCAAAAGCGGCTTTAGCACGCTGCGTATGTGTCCAAATGAGGCACGTCCCACCAGTTCGCGCAGCACCTCCTCGGCCAGCACAGGCGGTGTCACATTGACGGCATCTTCAATGGGCGTGAGGTCGCCGGACTGACGAATAAAAAAAGTTGTCAGTGCTACAATTTTTTACCTGCCAAGTAGGAGATGTGTAATAACTAGTAGGGTATTTCTTAAACATATATACAGTGAAAACGCTGCTAACGAACATTAATCGTGGAAAATTTTCCAAACCCAATTCGTCGGATGCTCTTTTACTGCTTGTCTCTTACGAGCTTTGTATTTTCTTCAATTGGTCCGTTCTAAACAGCGCTCAGTGTATAAAGCTTAGCTAGACAATTAAATTATGGAATTCGGTACAAATGCAATTTAAATATTCAGAAATTACCGCCAGAAAATTTTTCTTCAGAAACATAACGTTTACACAGAACTTTGTTTGTGTCGGTTATGTATGGATTCGTAATTGTGTGTTTGTGTGTTGAATTGGTTTGGGTTACGTTTCGTTTCGTTTGCATTAACAGAATATACGAAAACAACAAAATTAGTTTAAGATTGTTGAAGTTGCCAATTTTCTAGGAATACGTTAAGTTAATTGACCCTATTGGCAGCCAATCGACTGACCTGGACCCACCTGCATGTTGAACAGAAGCGAGGGCACAATCTTCTCCATGTGTTGGGCTTCCCAAATATTTTCGACCAGGTCGTCGGACACTGTTTTGCGTATGACGCCCTGCAGCCCCTTAATGCCGGCCAGTCGCAGGCTGTCACGCAAATCCTGACTGTCACTGTGGCACATGGACGAGAACTTTGAGATGAAGAAGTCGTAGCGCCGATGATAGGAGGGCGTGTCCTCGTTTATATTCGCAAACTTAACAAACTAAGGTGGGAAGACCAGTTAAATATATGGCAAGACTTTGATTAGGCGCCTCATACCGAATTTGTAGCCATTATTTTTAAATTCGGATTCGAGTCCTCGAGCAGCTTTTGCACCATGCGTAAAAACGATTCCACAAACAGGTTGAGGGTTGTCTGGGCGTGGCAAGCCTGCAGCAGCAGGTCCATAGCCTCCATGGCAATCTCGGCCAGCCTGTGAATGCAATCGGTTAATGATATCAGCTCGGAGGCAGCGGTCTGTACTCACTTGTAACGTTTGCGATTGATGTCCTTGGTTGCCTTCTGGTAGAGATATTCGCCAATGCGATCCAGCTTATCGGGCGAGCTTAGCGAATAGAACGTCAGCTTCTCCATATTGGACTTGACCAAACCATCTTCGGGATTGACGGGGAATATGTTGTCCACGAGCCGCTTGTAGCGCGGACGCAAAGCTGAGCAGCAGCCGCAGCAACCTAGAACAGCGCATGGGAAGGCACAGCTGTTAGAGGGATTAGGTAGGCAAACGTGTATGCAGCGATAGGTAAACATGACGTCGACGACGACGACGGCGACGCTGCGTCTGTTACGTCGTGGAGACAGTCGCCACTGCGGTTGTGCGTTAGGCAATCGGTAAAATGTGACTAATTAGAACCAACCCCAACTGTGACTCTAGGCACCGTAGGGGTCGCACCGTTGGACTGGGTGCGTCGGCCATTTTGTCGTTTATCTTATCGCCATAATCGTTGCCATGCTATATGCGAATTGACCTGCATCGCGTGATATGAGCGAATACTATTTTTATTGATTCTCTTTTGCTTCACATCTTCGCAAAATCCCTGTGTTCGTCATCGATTGCTGGTGTCATTCATTTCGGGGTCATGTCACGTCACATCGCGCCGCTCTGCTATATCATTTGATTGTTTGTTGGGTCCAATTACTCACCAGACATGTTTGTTCAACAGTCGTTACTTTTGTTTTTATCGCGGCGTTAGGTAATAAACGCTGCGATAAAACTATGCTGCTGTTGTAAATTTGTGTGCTCGAATATTGTTTTTCTCTTTCCTTATTTCCATGGAGCTGCCACACAGTCATATGCGGCGGTCTGGCAACGCTTTTCAAACATGAAGTTGGCTGTGCTGTTATGCAGCGCACTTAACAGCATTGCTCCTCACTATTAACTATTACTTTGGTTTAAGCGCGTGGCCCATATAGCTCGATTTATTTCTTGTTTTATTTTATTTGTGCAATATTATTGATATACTTACAACCAGGATCGGTACATTTCTGTACAAAGCTATCGAAGAACTCAGGCAGTTCAGGTGGTTCGAAGCAGCAACGTATTAAAGCCATTTGAAATCGCCAAGAATCGCGCTCAAAGCCGATGAAGACAATTCTGTGTGTGTGTGTGTGTGTTTTAATCCATACAGATGTTGTACGTGTGAGTGTGGTACCTTATTAGCCAAAATCAGCTGTTGACACGTAACGGGCAGAAAGCACCCGTTTTCAGTGCTCTAAGCTTTATTGCTATTTAAGGTACGTATATTTATATGCATGTCGATGTATACAGAAGATATGCACGTGCGCCGTTATATGATTTATCTATGGCTTGGTTTGGGAAGAAGATGACACTCTGGCATTTACATAAGGCAGCAAGTGGGAACCTAACGTTTGACATTAACATTAACAAAATTAACATAATGTTATGATGTTAATCACTTTACATTACTATCACTGTTTCTTCTAGCGTAATTTAATTCACATTTTTGACAAAATCTTGCAATTAAATTAATTAAGATGCTTTCACTTTTACTCGTCCTTGAAGAAGACACGGCGCAAACTTTGCTGTTAGCCTCAGCAAAAGTACTGAACGAGAAAAGTTTTGTACAGAAAATATTTGCCCACAAAAGCTGAGCTTTTCACTTGGCAGGCTTCACCAATGAGAGCTTTCATTATGCTTGAAATAATATTAAAAGCTCAAGGGATTTACCAAAGTTTACAAATCCCAATCGCAAGTTGTCGTAGAATAGCCGTGAAACTTGTTGATGCATGATGGGGAAAGGGCTTTCACCTTATCGAAGTTACCGTTAGATTGAACACCAGCAGGAATGCAAACGTGAGACGTCCACTTGGTTCTGTCATTTCGGCCGTCTATAAACGTTGGCGCCTTGAAAAAGATACGAATGCTTCACACGACAGTTTCTCGTGCGTTGACAACTTTATTAAAAGTTAAATGGGCTCCTTGCGGAGTGGCGGGAGGGAGAGCGGGGGGTGCCCAGTTGGAGTGGACGTGGGACGACAACAGCTTGGTGCTTTATAGTTTCTTGACCGGTTGACGCGGACGACGACGACGACGATGACGATCGATGATTTATTTGTATATTCTGCGTATTTCTCAGTTTTTGATTAATTACTGTGATATTCAAATATTCAAGTGTGTGTGGAAATATTTGCGTGAATTATTTCATTCCGACTGTTTCGTTTTGGGCCCAGTTGGTCTTCAGCAGCTACCTGCTGAAACTGCCTACATGATTTGCTTTGTTTATGACACTTGCCTGAATAGTTTCAGTTCCCTTGAGGATTAGCGCTCTTTCATAACTAACGTATCTACAAGACGAATTAATTAGTGAAGCGCCCAGCACATTAATGACCTGTGATAGAACGCAGGTACACTCAGAGAAAACTAGAAGAAATCGAAATTTCCTAAAATGAGAATAAATTGCCAAAATCTAAATTTCTGTAAATTACGACAAATCCTAATGCGCTTAATTCAAGGTTGTTTTCACCTAATTTAAATAATATTTAAGAATGTTCTTTTAAGGTGTCTACCTTTCATACTAGAATTGAACACACATTCAGAGAAAAATCTTATAAATGAAAATTTCTTCTCTCAAATCCAAAAGTCCCATGCTCCTGATGCTTTAAACTTTCTACCTTTTCTACTAGAATTTAAACACACTTAGAGAAAAATCGAAGAAGTCGGAATTTTCAATTATGAGAACATATATCCAAAATTATAATTTCTATAATTACCGATAATGTTCTTAATTCAAGGCTTCGTATACCAAGCTTTAGAATATTCAAATATGGGGCATGCTTGCCTGATGTTTTAAGGTTTCTGCGTTTCATATTCAGAATTTCTCTGAGTGCAGTGATTATAGCCAGCCAATATCGTGATTGATGAACTAGGGTGTGGTGCTGGGCTGTCTGGGAGGTTGGGTTACTGTTTGTTTTTCTTACGCAGCCTGCAACAGCAGCTGGTCGTGTTGAGCGTGTCTGTCAGCTCTGGCTGGCAGAATTTCCATATTTTTCCAGCTCCATCCTCGAAATGCAATCTTAACGAAGATGCAACTAACCAACTATCTGAAGAATGCTTGGGCGAGCTGGTTTCACTTGTTTACATCGCCATCATCAGCCGCACAGACGGCATTACCAGAGCAGCAATATGACGTCTAATTTTTAATTCAAGCCAAAGAGAGCGAGAGAGAGAGAGAGAGAGAGAGCCCGTTAAGAGGGCGAAAGAAATGCCGGCTACCTGTTGCTTTGCTCTCCCTTCTAGCTCTGATTGGCTTACGCTCTTCTGCGACGGCGGCGACGAGCTTTAACGCTCACGAACACAGCTCGAGCCGCAGATCGTGCGGACGTTTGGCTTCAGTCGACTTTCTGACGTGACGGTGTTCACCTGGCTGAACCCAAGACGCGCCGTGCGTACTCGAGAGTGTGTGTGTGTGTGTTCGCGTGAGATGTTTGCTTTAATATTCACAATTTACAACGATTAAAATATTTATTTATACACACACGTATATATTATATACAATTCGAACTGGTCAGCGCCGAGCCCTGCTGCTAAACCAACACCCCCCCCACCCCTCTAAGCTAACACTAAATTGCAATTAGGAAACCAATAGAAGCGCATTGCGTCTCTGTGTTTCTCTGTGCTTTCCTGTACTAACGAGTATTTGCGATCAATCGCCAACGACCATCGGCACGTCCATTCAACTGCACTCAACCCACACAGAAAAAAAAAAAAAAAAATAGAAAAAAAAAAAACAAACGACTTTGTGCGCAGTGCAAAAAGCTAAATAAAAATACGGCACAAATCGTGATAAATTTTCGCTTAAATTGTGCAAACGATTTTGGTGATTTCCGAGCTGCTTCTTTTTTTGTTTTCTAACAAAAAACATTTAACAACGACTGCATGTGTGTGAGTGTGAGTGTGTGCAGGTGTATGTGTGTGTGACTTATTAAAATTTGTTGTGCATTCGCGAAACGTCGAACGATTTCAAAAAGATCGAACTACACTCGGCTTGGCAAGTGTAACATTTTTTAAGTGCATAACAAGTTGTTTATTCAACAACAACAACAACAGCAACTGCAACAGCAACAACAAAAGAACAACGACAACAACAACAAGAAGGGGCACAAGTATTGTAATTAGAACTGCGCAAATTGCTTTGAACTGCCAGTTTATGAGGTGAGTCGCCCAGCAGATGTGAGCTGAACAGAATTGTAAATACAATTGTCACAAATATTTAACGTGGGCTTAGAGGCATCCGAATGAACTACAGTAGAGCTACGCTAAACAAGACATCTAATGCAGCAAAACTTGACAAATTCTGACTTTGTAACGCTTTTCCTTCTGTAACCCATATAAATTGATTAAAACAAAAACTAAATCGTAGCTGTACTAAAAATTAAAAAACTTAATAAACACCATGGATTTTGGTTTTTTCTACAGCTTTGAATAATTCAAACCTGCGGAGGCAAATGTGTCAGCCAAATTCGAATCTTTTTGATCTCGGGGTGAATGTTGCTTTTATGGACCTAGAATATTATTAAAGCTGTTCCAGTTACACAGACACGCATACGTGTGTGTGTGGGCGTACATACACTTAGAGAAAAAACAAAGCATTTTGCACTCAATCTAGCGAACGAATGTTTGGTCTGAAAAGGAAGTTCATATTTCAAGAACTGGTTTCTTAATTTAAAGTTCCCTTAATGTAAAACTCAAATTGTACCAGAATTCCTAAAACCGACTTGAAGTATATTACAATCATATTACAATAGTACTCTCTGAGCTTGGAGAGACTATTGAAAGTAGACACACGTCTTGTGAGTCATATGTCATTTCTTGGTTCTTGACTTTTGAGCATTTGCTCTAAATAGAGTTAATTGTTGTAATTCGGGTTTCAAAGAGTGCGCGAATATATTGAAGACTTTCCTTCTGCTTTAAAGCATTTGCAACATAAATCTGATAAATATGCGACCTCTATAAGCTCCAGCTACGTTCACAGCCTTGTTGGAGCTACAAGTTTTCGTGTTTAGCGATCGGCGAGTGCTTTGAATTGGGATGCAAATTAATAACCAATTATAATGTTAATAAAAGCTCCACTGTCATTATGACGATAATCATGAACATCGTGGAGAGTTGAGAGCTCGACAAGACGTTATGGATGCCCCTCTTTATTTTTTTTTTCTTGATTGTGCCTCGAAACGGAAATAGAATTCAGAAGGTCTTACAATGCAATCTATTGCCTTAAAGCTTTTTTAGTGAAAGTTTTGGAAATTTGTAGGGAATGGGCGTTATTTTGATACATTTTCACCTTAATGCAACGACATCATAAAAAAAAATTAGCCTCGCTTCGAGTTATCGTATCGATTTCAGTTCTAAGAGCCGAAATTAGCATTGCTAATTTGATTGAACGAAATTAAAAATTCGTACAATTTAGCCTAAAAATGCACATAAATTTTGGTGTTTAATGCGATTAGGAATTTGTTATTTATGTATTTTTGCCCAAATACATAATATATACTTATTTGCTAGAATCAAAAACCCTATGAGTTAAGCTTCGATCTAGAACTCTTTCGAGTCTCTAAACGTAAAATTCTTGAATTTCTCCATTCTTCATTAGTGTGTTGTTCGAGAAAGTTCAAGTAAAAAACAAAAATAGAAAATCCTCTCCAAAGCACAATATATATATATATATATTTTTTAAGAGGACATGGAGCTTGTTGAGGCCACCGAAGCTGCTCCGAGGTCGAACAGAATTCGTGGGCTGCGCGATTCTCTGGTGTGGTTCTTCAGTTTGCCAGCTGTGCAATATGCCCAGGTCTCTGTGGTTGTGCTGGGCGATTTGCTTGCGCTTTCGAGTCTCTATCCCTCGCACTCAATGTATATAGCGCGACCATTTCTAATATGGAAATACTAAGGATCTGTGGAAGGATGAGAACTTTGCGAAATATGATCGAAATAACACATAGGGAGACAAAATCTTATGCACTTTTATATATATATATTTTTATATACGTTCTCTACGTGGGAGCATTTCGAACTTGTTTAACGATCTTCACCTTCAGTTCAATGCCAATGCCAGAATGACGTCATGTTGGTGTGTGTGTGTCTGGTGTCTGTGTGTGTGTGGACTGCATGTAAGTAGTGTGTGTATGTGTGTGTGTGTAGGTGTCTTTCGAACGGCTAAACACCTCGTTTTGCTCCGCAGCAGCAGCAGAAGCACGTATCCAAGTCTGGGTCTGTTCCTGTTTTCAAACGCTTCGCCAAATTAAATCGACGCACACATTTTGCGCTCATTAAAACTTTCGAAAGTTGCGACTTTTTGGGGCCGTCGTCTTTTGTGTCTGGCAATAAACGTCAAAGGAACCTGTGCAGCAGCGAACTAAGGGGAGTTGTGCATGCACACACACAAGCACACACACACACACACACACACACACACACACACACGCACACACTACAAATTGAAAATTCTCAAAAAGCGGCAGCTTCATTTTTTTTTTTGTTTTGTTCGTTGATGTGGCCAAAAATGGTGTACAGCCTTGCCTTGTACGCAGTCCTACGGCTTGTTTCGTTTTTTGGGAGCTGTTTTTTTTTCACATTTAATTTTTGTGGCCGTTGTTGTTGTTATTCATTTATCAGGCTGCCGTTTTTGGTGTGCATGCGTCAAGGATGATTTGTTTTAATGCAAAGCCATTGGAGTCAGCAATATGTTGGAATTTCATTTCGTTTAGCCCCCAACTCTGGACGCTTCCCTTACCTGACTCATTGTCCGATTCGCTGTACGCCGTTTAGCACCTACAAAATACTTTTTGGACAAACACAAACATCACAAGTGTGCCGCAGGGTGATTAACACTGTTCGAAATAAAAATGTACTCTTCACTTGCAATTGTGGATACACCTTTTTGGTCTATGTAAACCTATCTAAAAGACAAAAATAAACAAATTGGCATTGTTGACTGGCTTTTAGTGGCTTTTTGGCTTTTGTATTGCTGTTTGCCAAACTGAATAATGCTGCTAATGAATGCGCCTCGTCCCGAGTGACCTTACCTAATCAAAACGAAGGGGCTGCGCATCGGGTCAACAAAGCGGCAATAACATTCACTTTCGCATCGTGCACCTTTAATTGCCCACGGGCCACACAAATCAAAATCAAAACAAGTGTGGTCCAACTGCGGCAGCCAGTCCAAAAGATACCCTGCAGCTTATTCAACATTTGTATGCCTTAAAAGCAAGGTCTTGAAACGCTTTGTTCGGGAGGAATCGAAACATGATATATACTTGATCTGTGTATACTTTACAAGAACCTTCATACCAATCAATACACCGCCTAAGCCCACTAGCAATGTGTACAGGGTACAAATATCAAAACCAAATTCGAAATGTCTGAGACACGACTTAAGCACACAATGTCTTCCAAATGGCGTAATCGCAATCTGTGTGTGTGTGTGCGTGTGTGTGTGCGCGTGTGTGCTTGATTGTTGAGGCGGCCTGAAAGCAAGCGCTGACTAGCTGTTGATTTAATGGGGTCGCGGTGGGCAGGGTACGGCTGCTATTTAACAAATTGGTTAACCCGATCGCGTTCGATTTGTCAGCCACAGCAGGCTGGCACTGAGATCGCGCATTGCGAGCGGAAGTTGAGCGGTCACTTGAACGGTAAATAGCATTTGACACTGCGCCAAGCATGTGCGGAAGTAAATATGCTTGATAAAAGCACCAATTAGGCCGACAAATTGTATATCGATCACTTCACAGCTGAGTCTTGTCTTGGCCCGTTCGAGCTTTCGAGGTGTCAAGTGTCGCCGTTGGCATTGGCAGCTGCAGACTTGGGCTGCAATACGACGCCCTGGGAACGATGCTTGCAGATTTATTTGACCAAAGCTTTACAGTGATCTACCCTATAACATTAAGTAGGGACGTCTTGAACACAGCGAATTTTTCATTAAAAATGAGACTTGAAAATGAATCTCTCTCACTTATGCTACAAAAGCTAGCTAGTGTGCAAAATAAAGATTTCAAGTTTCTAATGTTTAGCAAGTAGGTCGGTTAAACAAATTTGTTACTGGGTATCTCTCAGTTCAAATATTCTGAATCGCGGCGTGCGTTCTTATTTACTTAAGCCCAGAACCAATCTCTGTCGCTGGACAGCCGAATGGATCGAACCGATATTAATATTTGGGGCGTGCATGAGGTTAGCCAAAAATGCTTTCAATGAAGTCATTAAATTGATGTATTGACTGCTATATTGGCCGCTGGGCCTGCTTAGCTTTCATCTCGAGCCAATTACGAATTTCCAAGAACTGCGTCTGGCTGCGACTTTCTGGATTTCAGCAAATTTCTCTTGCCTAGCGTCTGCTAGAGGTTATTAATTGTCGTGGTCAGCGTGGGCCGATCCGCTGTGATGTCATTGGGCAACCGGAGTCGTCAGGTTTGCTTGTTTAATTTGATGGCCGATGGTGACATTGACTGCACTCAAAAAGAGATTCATGCATACAAATGAGACAAATGGAAACTGGACCGATTACGGCCATGTATTGTTAGCTTGTTCCCAGTTCATTTGCCATTAACGATAATGGGCGTCTTATCAAGCGGCATTGCCTGGTTTGCCAATTGTTAAAGAGGACTCGTAAAGAAAATTCGTAACGCTTTCATAATGCAATTGGGCCACCATTTGGGACGGGTTGCCATTGTGCGCATTACTCAATGCGCACCCAAAAAAAAAGTATCAAGCAATAAAAATAATGTTGAAATTGAGTCACCCAAACGATACATCTCCCCCCCTGGCGCAACCTGCTTTGTATGCCGCGTAACTTTGCGGTCAACAACATTTGACGATATGCTTTGAACCGCATATCAATGAACCCCTCGATCAGCTGAAGACGCTGCTCCCAATAATATTATTATACGAGATACTCACGTGCATACCTATATGTAAATAAATATTTCCGAGCGGACTTTGCCTCTCTATCAATCAATGTGAATACAAATATCGCACTGCCTGGCAGCTAATAATTAGACTGAGATTTCAGCACAAATTTGCATAAATTAAAGCTCAACTATCAGCTACCGCTAGCCCATTGCCTTTAATTACCCGGCAGCGACAGATTTGGCATGAAAGAAAAAAAACAACGACATGAAAAAAAGTGAAACTCTTGTGGCTTATGCAAGACGGAAGATGGCCCAGAGTCGCATGCAACATTGATTATGACTTGTACCACAGACCCAAAGAAGGCATCGCATGCCAGTCGCCCTTTTTCCCACTGAACGTTGCATGCAGCATGCTGCATGGAGCATGATTGCATGGGCCCAAGTGCCAAGTGCCGATTCGTTTTCGCTGTTGTGACCTTTGGCACCGTCAACGTGGCGCTGCATCGAAGCTGCCGGAAATGTGGACTGACTGGGAGATGCAACCGAAAATGAAACTGACACCAGCCAAGGGGCAGGCAGAGAGTAGCCGATTTCGTGCGGCCTTTCAGTGAGAATTGCCGCGGTGAAAGAAAATAAAGGCAGCGAACGTGGCTCATAACTAGAAAGACTTAGGCAACAAACTTGGCTCATAACTAGAAAGACTTAGGCAACAAACTTGGCTTACAACTATTTGCTCAGTAATTGCGCACAATTTTCGATTCATTTAATTGATAAATAAAATACATTTTGAAACTCACTGAACCAACAATCAAGGGCCAACTCAGCAATCGCTTTATGACGTTCATATTTCATGTTTCAGCTTCACAGAGATTGTTTGGCACTGATGATCGATCGCTTTTTGGCAAACCTAAATCGCTTGTCTTTGCATGCGTGCGTGTGTGTGTGTGTGTGTATCTTTTCGATATGGTGCCTAATTGATTTCTGCACAGGTTAAAAGTCGCACAGCCGGCAACTGTGACATGGAGAAATGGCACACCAGTCGAAAGCAGTCGTTTTTTTTAATACTCTTGCAAAGCATATTTAAATTATAGTCTCTTAGTTTAAAAAGCTATCTTAATGCAACTTTGTAGACAGTATATATAAATACTCGGGGTCGATTGGATCATAGCACTATATGATGATCGTTGTTATTGGCTAAAATTGTTTGTTCCTCAAGATATGTTGACAAAATTGTGCTTCTTACATGACTGCAATTAAAAAACAGACCAATAAAAGATCTATCTGTAATACGAATCAAGTGATTAAAATTAAATATGATAAACTTTTAGGTTTCTCTTGGCAATAACGTCCTCAAAATATCTGTAAAGCCATATGAAATCGGTCTTCTATGTAGTTGAACAATTGGTCGGAAATGACGTTTGTTAAGCCCATGTCTGCAAGTGTATTTAAGCTTCGACATTCCAAAGATAACTGTTGTTTCTGTGTTGTTTTTGTTTTTTTTGCTCATGTAGACGATGCTCTCTGGGTTAATTATTGTATTATGAATACGAAAAGTGAAATTTGTGTAGTCCAAACTGCCCGCTGGGAGCAGCTCATAGTTAAGGGCCACATTAATCATAGCAGTTGCCATTAAACTAGAAATTGATTTACATTTCTCATCAAAATGCCGACTACAACAGAAAACTTGATGTTGCGAACGTACACTCCAGGTCACTTGCATAGATACAGTTTCACATTTCATTCACATTGCCTGCAAATCTTTTCTCCTGCTGCCGTATTCTACTGTTATCAAGTGTACATGTTATACAAGGCAAAGAAATTGCCACAAAGCCGCAAAAAGTTGCAATGTAATGCCGCAGAGATTAACCTTCTAACATACATAATAAACATAAACTAAATATGTAGTCATAAATACAAAAAAAAAAAAAACTCGGCGCTTCCTAGTAGACGCCGGACTTAAAGATACAGTTTGGTGAGCTAACAAAGCGTGAAAATGACAGCGTGCTCAGGCACAATGCGATCAAGGGAGGGGAAAGGAGGCGGTGAAGTGGGGGGACGTTGGGGCGACTGCGACTGACGGCAAGATTGACGGCCGGCCATCAGCGGCAGCAAACAAAACGATGACAAACAATATGCGAGCGGATACGAGACGAACTCAGTTGAGCTGGCATTGGAATGTATGTGTGTGTGTGTGTGTGTGTGTGTGTGTGTGTGGGCGCTGTGTATGGTGTATGTGCACAGCATTAGAATAGTGCGCCAGCGTAGAAATCTCTTGTCATCGTCATTGTCGTCTCAGATGCGCGCGTAGATATGCAATATGGCTCTAAATGGGCGTAGCAATTACTAATTTCTTTTGTAAAGCGCCTGAATCAACGGAATTTAGTTGTAAAAATCGAAAATGTGGACTAGCTCTGTAGTTGGTCAGCAAAGAGGCAACATGCAACACAGGCAACAAGCAACAAGCAAGAGCAAACGGAGCAGCCGCCTCGCATCTTTGCCGAGACGACCAGCTCGCTCGTTGGCTGTCTGCATGTCCAAATGCCGCTGTCCCTGTCTGAGGTATTGAGCCTAGTGCGGCATCTACTCACAGATGCCTGAGCATAGATATCGAAATGCAATTAAGTATTTGCCAAGTCGGCAAATGGACGACGCAGCAGCAGAGCCGCCGTCGTCGTCGCCGCTGCGAGCGCCACCAACAAAGCAAAAGCAAAAGGCGGCACGCATGGAAAAATGCAGCCCAAACGTTGCCTTAGCTCAACTCCAGCGGGAGCACAGGATCTGAGGTGCTGGCTCTGGCTCTGGCTCAGACTGCAACTCTCTGCTCCAAGCTTTGCATAACTTTGACGTCGGCTGTTGCTGCTGCTGCTGTGCGCCCGGGGCTTGGCCATACTTACAAATTGGACTACACCTTCATTTTCATTTCAGGCAAAGGCCGAGCCGTGCTTCGACATGGCTTAGACAGACTCAATTGCTGTACGTATTTCCCTGCTGGTGTTGAACCTGAACCTGAACCCCCCAGAGGTCAGCGCTGGCGCTGAGAACACACGCAAAGTGGGCGAACGCGTTGTTTGTTTTCCGCAGCCCCTGCTCCTGCCTATGCC